TTCGACCTTTCTTACACACCCACAGTCATTCCTTTGGAGGCAAGGTTCAGCCTTCACACTGTTTCAAGATTCGCTCGTTACTTCCGCGTTCCTGGGACGGTGATTCCCCTCGCCATGTATCTGATCTTCTAGAATGCGAAACTCCTCGTATAGGGTCTCAGCATGATTCGGTAAACTAGCAATGGCCCTAGACAGTCCCTTTATACAGCTTAACAGATACACAGCCTGAAAGCCGCACTGTCAACCATGACGGCAACGTTATAGAGTGGATGGGGGACACCTACAGTTCTCACCCAGATGCTTTATCTCTCGATTTCACTACTGCCAGATCCTTAGCCTTCGAATCAACTTCAACACTTTTGGAACGTCACAGTTATAGCTTCTATAGCAACATTCTTCACGATGATTACGACGATTACGATGACATGAACGCGCCGGGTGCGCAAATACCGACCACACCAGTACTACGTGTAAGCCATAGTAAAGCTGATAAGTTTAGATGGAGGCGTATCTCTTACTGCGTGTAGAATGCTAATTCCCCAACTGAACTCGACCCTGATGATGCCTTTGATACATCATTTTCAAAGAAGAGCTCACAAGATATCGCCACCAGCCATGATATTGACAACACTCCGCGTCACCTACATAACATACTTCATAGTAGATACCCTCCCGCACCAACGATGGAAACGAAGACTATGCATACACCTCCGGCCAGCGAGTGGTCCAAAACTACTCTAGCGATGACTGAAGTACAGACCCCAATTCAATCAGAAGACGAAAGCTCCCATCCCTTCTCCGATCAATACAATGCCTGGGGGGACGAAGAAGATTCGGTTCTGTCTCCGAACTCCAGCAACCCAGGCGTTGGGTTTCAAGGCGCCCAACCCTACTCAACACTCGACATGCTACAGTCGAATGGTGGCTTTGCAGATGTGCACCACCCACCAGTCATACAACCAGTCTCACAGCAGAATGAGACCCTCAACGCGACCCCAGCCGGACCTTCAACAGCAGTACGAAGCTTTACTGACACAACAATGACCCAACAGGCTTCGCAGCCCACCCCCGTAGGCCATAGCAGCCAACAGTAAGCTCTACGTTTCAACACAAAGCTAGGCTAGAACGCTGCTGAACCTCAGGTAGTGTTGCAGAGAACCATTCCGGCAGAGCTTCAACAGTTTGTCAGGAACCTGGCTGCAACTATCCCTTTCGCTATCCCAAAGACATGAGACGCCATGTCAATACCGTCCACCTGAACAGAAGACCTTTCCAATGCAACAATACCGGCTGTGGCAAGACTTTTGGTCGCAAGGATCATTTGACCCGTCACCTGAAGACTTGCAAGGTCTTAAGGCCGCCAGTTTGATACAAGTTTGTGCCAGAAGCAGCACGTCTTTTCGGTTTCTAAGTTTTGTTTCGCTTCAACATGTAACTGCGCTCGTTTAGTAAATTTCCTTGAGTCTGGTGAGATGGGCATAGGCGATTGATGTTGAAGACCAATGATGAGCAAACGGCCTAGCTTAGTTATGGATTCATGAATTGCCCATATGCATCTCTTGCGAAATGTTTTGCTGTCATGTCACTGGCGTTACCGTTTAAGGAAGTCGTCGTACCTGCACTAGTGTGGCAGAGCAGTCCCCCGCTTGAGATGCCGTGCGCAGAAGCTCTCCAGAAGAGGAAGGAGACATTTCCCAGGCTACACCTTTCCTGAAAGTATAAAAACGCTGACCGTGGCCTCTGAGAAGTCCAGCTGATGCGGTACCGGCTACGTTATAGTGTGGCTCACCGCATTGGCGTTGTTGCAGCACCATCAATTCCACGTTCCTCAGCTTCATACACTTGCAGGTACGGGCCTTTGAGACTGCAGCCTCTACTTCCAAGAAAGGTACCTGTTCGATATTCCAATCCAGACATGGTCAGGCGAGCGATCCATTTCACACCCCAGGTCCTGCTAGGCGCGCCACGGCGCTCAGCCGGCGTGCCTAATCCTGCCGGTAGCAAAGTGGTCTACACTGTCTCCACATACAACTTTGAGGCACACAAGAAGACCAATGAGCTGCGTGTTCTGGATGTGCAGAGTGGCGACTCATTGGAGCTCGCTCGTGACAAGGATATTGCAGACCTCAATTGGCTGGATGATGAGCATCTCGTCTACTTTGAGGCTAACAAGGATGGATCTACTGGTCTGGTCTGGCGAGATATCGGGGTGGCCAAAGACGGAACGGAAGGGATCCAAGCCGTCGGCGCTGTTGACGCTCCATGTTCGAACTTAAAGGTCGCAAAACTCGATGCTGGCAAGTTTGGCATTGCCTTCAGTGCTCAGGCAGGTAAAGATGGGAAGCCTTTTAACCCTGAGAAGGCACCGAAGCTGCAATCAACTGGCAAGCTCTATAAAAAGCTCTTTGTTCGACACTGGGACAAGTACGAGACGAAAGAGCGCAATGCTCTATTCTACACGACTTTGAGCACCGACGACGACGGCAAATGGCACTTGGGTCAGATCTACAATGCGCTCAAAGATACGAAGCTGGAGAGTCCTGTTGAACCCTTTGGTGGTACTGACAATTTTGATGTCAGCAAAGCCGGTATTGTCTTTGTTTCCAAAGATCCTGTATTGAATGTTGCTTTGAACACCAAATGCAACACTTACGTAGCAAAGCTTCCGTCGTGGGAAGATCCGCCGGCTGCGACATTCGAGGTCGAGGTCCCAGAAGCTTGCCAAGGCGCTGCTACCGCACCCATATTTAGGCCAGATGGAAGGGCAATTGCTTTCCTGAAGATGGAGGAGAATGGATACGAATCTGATAAGGCAAGGCTTCGTTCCTCCTCCCCAGCCGTGCCTCAGAACAGGCTAACACAACTGTAGACACACATCCTCATCGCCGAATACGACAGTCTCGATGAAGCACCCAAAGCACGATACCTCCTTTCCAAGCCCTGGGATCGAAGTCCAGCATCGATCTCGTTCACGACAGACTCGAAGCATATGCTGGCAATCGCAGAAGATCATGGCGCAGTCAAGCTTTTTTCAATGAGCTCCTTGAAATCCTTCGCGATGCCGCAAGGATCATTCAGCGACTTGCGTTGCCTGAAAAGTGGTGCCATCTTCCTTTCAGGATCCTCATTGGTAGACAATTCGTTCTACGCCATCCTCCAGGGCTCATTAGCACCTGATGCTGTAGATGCAGCTGAGATCAGACTTCTCCATTCGAACACTCACCAGGGCGACAAGCTCGGGTTGAGTGCTCAGCAAATAGACAGCATCTGGACACCCGCCAGCAACCCGAAGATAAACGAAAAAGTCCATGCTTGGGTGATGAGACCGAGTCACTTCGATCCCAAGAAGAAGTATCCAATCGCATACCTCATCCATGGCGGCCCGCAAGGTGCTTGGGGGAATTCATGGAGCACCCGGTGGAACCCAGCAATATTTGCAGAGCAGGGCTACGTAGTTGTCGCTCCCAACATTACAGGAAGTACTGGTTACGGACAGGCCTTTGTGGATGCCGTGAGTGAGAATTGGGGTGGAGACCCGTACCAAGACATAATCAATCTCTTCGATTGGGTCGAGAAGAACATGCCGGAGGCAGACAATGACCGTGCCGTCATGCTGGGTGCTAGTTACGGTGGCTTCATGGCCAATTGGATCCAAGGTCATGACCTCGGCCGTAAGTTTAAAGCCATCGTTTGCCACGACGGCATCTTCAGTACGGTGAACCTGCTCTCGACTGAGGAGCTCTGGTTCCTGCACGACGTGGGTGGCCCCCCTTGGCAACACACTGCTTCCCTAGATGGTGACGACGCTGCGGCACAGGTCCGCAAAAACTTTGGGAAAGGCGACACTTCCTCATGGGTGAAGTGGGACCCGTCAAGGCACCTTGATAACTGGTCCACGCCCCAGCTCGTCATCCATAGCTCCAAGGACTATCGTCTACCTATCTCAGAAGGACTGGCGGCTTTCAATGTCCTCCAAGCAAGAGGTGTGGAGAGCCAGTTCTTGACCTTCCCGGACGAGAATCACTGGGTGCTCAAACCGGAAAACAGTCTGCTATGGCACAAGGTGGTCTTGAATTGGATCAACAAGCACGCTGGGTTGCCAGCTTTTGCCAGAGATGATGAGGAAGACGATGAGTTCTATGGTGGTACGAAGGCCGAGAACGAGAAGGAGCAAGGTGGCGAGACCATGCCCAGTGACGGACATCCTGCCACATGAGCAACAGACAGAACACAAGTACAATCGCACTAGCGCCGCACCTACTGCTTCAGATTGATGATGTAGGCGTTTTGGCCCAAGCGAGCGACGGCGGTCCCCAATAAAGATGAGATACTGTTCAGCGTATCCTGTAAAAGTCCATCAGGAACAGCTTAGTGCAAAGTGACGTCTGCATGCTTGACACAAGTCTTTTGGTTGTATTGCTCTTCCGAGATCTCAGTGCCACAAGAGATTGTTGACATCCTGAACCACAAAAAGTGGAAGATAACGGTCTCATACTGCAGAAGATGCCCTGCTGGCTTACTCTCGTAGTCTCCCATAATAAAAAGCCAATTACACACTTCGCCAGTTCCTGTCAGGATGGCTCACGTTCCTGTAGCAGCTGTTGGTGAGTAAATATAGCGTAAGGACCTCAACGCTGTCGGCAAGGGTAAGCATCGTAGGGAGGCCTACGTAATACTGAAGCGCACTGGACGTATAGCTGCACAGAAATCTTTGGAAATATACGATCTGTTCGCACAACGGAATGACATTCCCAAGTTATCTCACTTTTGAAGGTTAAAAGTGTTTCGCAGACAGATATGTAACGGCCATTTTCGATCTGACACTGGAGTTGTATGAGGTAGCCGGTTGATGTAATCAGAATTGAGCGCAACAGTATCAATCAAGCGGAGGACGTCTCCAAATGGCAGAGTGTTGCTGCTCAACTTATTACAATCTCACGAAACGAGTTATCGATGGTGTCTGGAAACAAATAAAGCCATGCATTTGGCAAAAAGACATACTCCCCCGCTTAGGCTTGAACTAAGAACCTTCCGGTAGCTTGAATTATCAAATTCTAACAGCCGAACGCGCTAGCCAATTGCGCCACGGAGGATATGGAGAAAATCCCAGCCGAGCAGGCCGACTGATGGGCACCTGACTTGGATAATCTTTTATGAAGAGTTGAAATTGACATCCGCCTCATAGATAAAAGTGTACTTACGTCGGTATGTTTGTCCCGAAAGTAGTGCATTGCTTGCTAGATCTCACTCCCGTATGAACTTCAAAGCTCTTTGATCCTCTTCTGGCACCATAGTGTGATTTGGGAGTTGTGAAGGGGCCGGTCCGAATGCTCGATGTGAGCGAGCAACGTTGTGGCGGTTGTGACATCGGCAAGGTGGTAGGGGTTGTAATCAGTATGCTTATTGAACTTCCAGCCCTGTCCCTATAGACGAATACCGGGAGGTAGAACTCTATTGCGAAGCCTAGCTTCATCCTAATCGCAGTATAGCCGTGAGTGGCGGCCCTCGAGTCACACCTCATCCTGTACTCAGCCTTGCTTGTTGATCCCTAATCGTGCGCAGATCACCTGCTGTACAACTGTTGTATTCTCTCCAAGTTCTCCGCACCCTACTCCAGTGTAGCGAGTCGTTGTGTGTCTTGCATTCTCTGGCGAAGCTATTCATGAAGACTGAACCAGCCGATGGCTTGGGCTGCATATCCGCTGTTGGGACTCTTAACAGCAGCATTCTGCCAGAGCTAGCTGTCTCCGCCCCATGATGGGGTTTCCCGAGCAATAGAAGCAGTACTCGACAGGGAGTCTCGGCGCAAAGCAGACACTTTGCTCTACTCAACGCACCCGTAGACCAGCCCATCGCCTGCCCCTGAAACCACTGATCTTGCATCCTCATTGTCCACTCTCGAAGCGCTCCAGCTCACCGGATGCTCATGAGTTCGCGTCAATCTCAGCGAAGATCTTCTTCATGTGATCGCGCCTCTTCTTTGCCTCCTCCCTGTTCTTCGCGGTCCGCTCGAGTCGCTCGGCTCGTAGGCACTTGTTCACGTCTCGCTTGATGCTGCTGCACATCCCCATCGACTTCCACAGGAAACCGCGTGCATGGCATTCGTCGAGAGCCGTCATGATCTCTTCGCAGCCTGCATATTGAAGTCAGTAAAGCCGAGGGCCAAGGAATGCGCTTTCTGTGTATTACCAGTATTGTCCTTTGTGTGGAGATGTGGATGCATCTTGATTGACTTTGTATTCTAAGAAGAAGCGCAGATCGATGAGATGGGTTTGATGATGTTGTTCACGAGTACGACTGATGGCAACTTTGCGAAGCCCTGGGCGCGATTCAAAGGTCTAGTCTGGGGGGCGTAGGCGGCAAATCTTGGCGCTGCTAAACCATCATTCGTTTTTGGACCACACTTCAGGGGAGAACAACCATAACCAACGACAATGTCACAGCAGCAAGTATCGGCCAAGAAGCAGCAAGGTATACTAAGAAACCGCCATGTTGAGTGCTTCTACATGCTAATGACCACCACCTTGTAGAGCTGCAGGTGCAGTATTCGAACTACAAGGAAACTTTACAAGCCATCGCCCAGAAAATCGGTGATGTTGAACAGGAGACTGAGGAGCACAAGTAAGTCTCTGATAATCTGCAGCAAGTGTCGAACCCGGTGTGGTGCAAGGATGCACGGCTCTGTCTGCCTCGCCGTGAAACTTCACTCCGGATGTGTGTCATCGGCAACTTCGATACGGTCGATTTTATTGATCGTGCTCACCGCTTGTGTGAATCCTAAAACCATCGCTAAGGCATCCACTCGTGTCATCATCCTTTGACTTTATGATCGGAGCCTTTGACAGGCTCACCGCTTGGAGAGGATGTCACCTTGTCTTGATTTTGCTTGATCGAGCAGTTCGACCTCTACACGTTGAAGTCAAAGAAGTGTACTAACGCTACGATCAAAGACTAGTGTTGGAAACCTTGACACCGCTTCCTGGTGATCGCAAGTGTTTCCGGATGATCAATGGTGTTCTTGTCGAGCGTACAGTAGGCGATGTTCTGCCAGCCTTACAGACAAACTCAGAAGGGTTGAAGAAGGTACTTGAGGATCTTGTGAAACAGTACAAAGGCAAACAAGACGAGATGGAGAAGTGGAAGGTATGCCATCCTGCCATCAGGCTTCATAGAACCCTGCTGACAGCCTCGTAGAAGAAGAACAAGATCCAGGTTGTGCAACAGTAGTCACCTTGAAATCCGCTTGCGACAACGCAATGAGACGCCAGGTTCTCTCCTCTCGCGAAGTGCATCCCAGATACCAGACTACCCGCATCAAGCCAAGACCAGGAGAGGCATTTTGTAAGGTCTGGCTTCTGCGTTTGGCAAGAGGCATCAGATTCCTGCCAGGGAGTCACTTCCATGGTGGTAATAGAGTTTCGAGGCTGGTATGAAATATTTACGATCTGTCAAAGGACGGCTGAAACGAGCAATACCGTAGATGATATGTTGCACACTCAGTACCCATAGCGATGGATCGGTACCGCATAGAGCACCGACTTGAGCGGTAAGGTGAGGGGTGTGGCTGCAAAATGCGGCACGCCGGTCAGCGTCACCTGACGGCACTTCACTGCGTATCAACCGAGCGTACAGCGAGTTGTTGCATCAATTGGTGCCCAATGGCGATGGTGAAGGGCTCCTGGCGAAACGGAGGATTTGTTAGATGTACGTCAACAGAGCGTCAGTGCCAGCCATGCGTGATCAGGCAGGGAACGTGGATCGCGGTGGCATGGCGTGGGCCTTATGCACGCATGCGCTGGTCTGCAGCAATTAGTCTCGAGGCTGCCCAATGCCTGAGACGAGGCATCACATAAAAGCAGTGATTGGTCTTCCACCAGATCCGTCTAGCTCAGGTACAGCCGGCAACTGACTGGTCGGATCGAACCTCACGCCCTGGTAGCCTTGCAATCGTATGTCCACAGCATCTAGATCCTGTCGTCAATGGTAGGCAAACGCAAGGAGCTGATGGCAAGGCAGCCTCGACTGCCAACGCATCAATGCCGAGCCATGTCGGTGGTAATCCAGCTCTACGATCGAGGCGCTATCCCACAGCATCTCGAAAAGAAAACCCTTTGGGCTGGAACATGTGGTGCAGCAGCTAGACGAGTGTAGCTCTGCGCGGATCTGTAGGTGAGCAGAGTTCCTGAAGCTCTCTAGTGCGGCACAAAGGTTCAGCAAGGGGGAAGGGGGAGCTGGTGCCGCAGTAGCTTCAACACTGCTGCCCTTCCCTCTGGGCAGAGTAGCCCCAACCACCAGGCCGGCTTGTCAGGTGTGTATGAGAAGGGTAGGCGGGAGATGAGTGCGGAAGTTCATGCGCATGAACCGTACAAGAGGTGAAATGTCGGGAGTGACGATGCATGCTGGCCGAATCAGGCGTCAAGAACAGTGCCGGCGCGCGTGATTGGCCACAGGCGGGAAAATGGCCGGGCCGCCAGGCAGAAACACCGTCTGGAGCACAAAAGTAGTGGCCAGGCCGGCGCAGGCCAGCCAACCAATTCCCTCGCCTTTTCCTCTGCCCTCCGAATCCTCGTGAGACGAGAGACGAGAGCAGTGTAATCGAGTACTGGATCACTCATCGCCGCTACCTGTCTCTCCTCGCTATACCTCTATACCTCTATACCTCTATACCTCTATACGCTGCCGGATACTGCCTCTACCCGCGCGAGCCGCACGCGTCGTTTTCGCGGTGGACTCGCTTCCCGTTGCCATTATCGTTGCCGCTGCTGCTCTGGCTGCTCACTGCTACACTATACTGCCTACCTGCCCGCCCGCCCACCTCACCTCACCTCACCTAACCCAACCTACGGGAAAAGCGACGGTATAGCAAGCAGTAGATAGACTCTGCTATACTGTGTAGTCGTGAAGGATCCGGCTTGGCAAAGCTGCGCTAGGTAATGAATGCCTCCTCTACCACCACCACCTCATCCCCCTCCTCCTCCTCTTCCTCCTCCTCCTACTCCCTACTCCTCACTCTCCCCACTCCCCCTCTAGGATCCTTTGCGCTTTGTCTAGGACGAAAGCATGCGAGGGCGCGCTTGGGCTCCCGCTTGGGCGAATTCAGAGGACTGTTTGGGCGTCAACGCGTCTGCGCTCCAGATGCTGCCTGAGTCTGTGCCCGTGCCTGTGCCTGTGCCTGTGCCTGTGCCTGTGCCTGTGCCTCTCTGCTTGTGCTGCACTGCGCGCGCTGCACCTTGCCTCTGCCCCTCGTACTCGCGGCAGAATGATGCCTAACTCCTCCTCCTCCTCCACCACCACCACCTCCTCCTCCTCCTGCTCACCCTCTGGCCCTACTGACTCGAGTCCCTGCTTAGGCATCCGTCTAGTCCGCCCGCGACTCTGAGAACCATCCGGCCGGCAACGTCACTTTTGCCCTGTCCTGCCCTACCCTGCCCTGCGTCTGTGTAGCATCTGCTCTCCCTCTCTCTCTCTATCTCTTGCGCGCGCGCCACAGCCAGCCAGTCAGAATCTCCACGGCCCCAAGCAGTCGCTTAGCCGTCAGAAGTTTCTTTGGGCTCTCCAACACACACGCGCACACGCGCACACGCGCACGCACACACACATACACTAACACACTAACACACTAACACACACACACACACTCACACACTCACACACTCACACATCTCTCCTCTCACGCACTCCCTCTCCCCTCTCTTACACCGCTGCCACCGAGACGCGGAGAATGTGGGTTTCCCTTCCTAGCCAGCCCGTCAATCCATGCGCCTTCCGGCTCTACTAACTGACACATCCTGGCAGAACTAACCCATATCCAGCTCGAGAGTCTTGGATGGATTGCTCGACTCACTGACTGGCCGCTCACTCTGATTAATAAAACCGCTCTGGTGTCCCTACGTGCTCGTGACCTTGCACAAGCAAACGCCCGTTGACGTGTTACACCGCCTTGCTGCTGGGAACCCAACGCCTCCATCCTGCTGCACCTTACTCTGGGTCGCCTCCCTAGTCTGATCTGCGCCAGAAGCTTCCCGGCGCCGGCATCTCGCCTCCGCCTGCGCCGTTCCAGGCAAAGGTTGCACGGCGTCCTGCAGCAGGGAGC